AAAAAAAAAAAAAAGGTGTGATTTCCTATGGTGACTCAACCAATTAACCCTTCAACATCAAGCATTACAATGTTATTTTTAACTATGCGCAAGAAGAAACATGGAAGTAAACATTAAAACTGCCTACTAAGCTATATGAGCAAATTAAAATCAAAACAGTAACATTGGAGAAGGGGATATACTTTAAGCTTATTCTCTAGCAAAGATGGTAGGACTTCCACAGATCCATCCACGTTCTTTTTGGCCTCTTTTGGAACAACAGCAATTTGGTATGCCTTCTGGACACACATCAACCACTATATGAAAGGAAGATACCTGTCTGATGTGGGAATCAAATTACTGCAGAGGATCCTAAACCCTGTCTGCTCAACTGATACCAAGATGGCTATGTCATAACACCCTAGGAAGTGAGATTCCTGAGTTGTACCCTTGCTTCTTCTAACTCTGTTTTGGTGAATTTGGGGAAGGACAAATATGTGGGAAACAGCATTTGATGGGGTTTACTGGTAAAATAATCTAATCCAATAATTTACTAATAGGAGAGGTTCTACAAGGCATAAACAGAAGCCCATCTTATCAGTGATCACTGGCCTGTCTGAGGAGAATCCGGTTTTATTTTTTTTAAGATTTTAAAATTTATTTATTTGACAGAGAGAGACACAGCGAGAGAGGGAACATAGCAGTAGGAGAGGGAGAAGCAGGCTTCCCACTGAGCAGGAGCCCGATGCGGGGCTCGATCCAAGGACCCTGGGATCAAGACCTGAGCCAAAGACAGACGCTTAAACGACTGAGCGACCCAGGTGCCCCCAGAATCCTGTTTTAGCTTGTCCACTCTCATAAATACATACCATCCCCTCTGCTGGGCACTTTGGTTGGTAGGCTAGTTTCCGTCTGACTCTCTTCCTCAGTTTTTTCCGTTTGCTCAGTTTGGGGTTCCTCTTTCCTCTCAAACTGTGGTGCTTCCTGAGGCTGATGGTCTGAAGGAGTACCTGGTCTAGCAGATGATGAGGAAGTATGGGATGCTTCCTCACTAGCTTCTGTAATGTGAAGTATTCTTAAATTAACAACTTAGGAAACTTTTGATTTGAAGAAGAAGGTAAAAGACAAAAATGAGCCTTACCAACTCCTACTCTATCTGTCTTCTCTCCCTCTTTCCTATTTGTCTTATCGGGTTCTTTGGCTTCTTCATTATGGCTGCTCTCAGAGTCAGAGCACTCCCCACCTTCCTCTACAGGCCGGAAGTCCATCTCCTGCTCTTCTGGAATCGGCTCTTTCTGTACTTTCTGTATCAAGAAAATAAAGCCAAAGGTCAACAATACCTTTGGCTTTGCTGGCAGGTCAGTGCCTGTCATAACATTTAAAACAAATTTCTTACCTTTAGAGAGAGGAATGCTCCAGAGGAGTCAAATGTGCCCATCTCTTCTTCAGCATCCTCTAAGCACCACTCAGGCAAGCTATCCCGGTCATCGTCTATGCTTCCACTGCCAGAGCGCACCCGTCGGTAACCCCGTTCATCATCCCGATCTCGAAAATCAAACTCAAACCTTCGCCGTCGCTCCATGTGTTCCCGCCAGCCTGCAGAACGAGGGCCATCTGGGATGAGGAGGAGGATACAAACCTTAGAAAATTTTTATGACAGTATTTGAGAAAAAAAATCACGAATACGAAATAAAGAAGAAAACTATGACTGGCTGTGAATTCAAATGATCAACCTACTAAAGAGAAAATTAGGCAAATTAAATGAAATTCAGAGCTCAGCATACGTATGACATCACTAAGTGACAACAGTGTTTATCTTCAGTAAGTACTGAGCCACACAACATACTCTAAAGCTTTGAAAGATAAATTTTAAACAAATCACTTTTAAAGGACACTTGATTCAAAGTATACACTCTAAATAAGCTTTAGGTATCTGACTGAAATGTCGATGAGTCATTCACATGGCATACATACTCTTAGGCCAGGCTTATAACACTAGCTATCTTTCCACACTGAAGTCCATGCCTTCCCTCTGGCAGGCCTTAAACACATTTCTTTCTTCTCATGAAAATATCATTCTTGATGTATAAGACCAACTCCCTGTGGCAAATCCTAACATCAAACTCATCATGCCTATTTGCTAGTGCCAAGATCCCATTTGTAATTCTGATTCCCAACAAAAAGGCATGGAATTATAGCACTGACAGATGTCAGAGATATTATATAGCCCCACTATTCTAATTTTATAGTTTAAGAAACAAAAACTCTGACAGAAGTAACTTGCATTGTAGCAAAGCAGAACTAGAATCTAATTCTGCATCCTCTACTGCTTTTTCCACAATAGAATGCTTACTTTCCTTTCCCTTTACTCTCATCTCTTAATTCTCCCTAGGGAGTTTTTATTTCTGTATAATACCCCCTGGGACATTCCTAAATCCACCCCAGCATACTGTTTATTACATCTACTTTCCAACAGAAAAAAGACTGCCTAAGAATAAAAGATGCCAGTTACGGTATTTTGTTTTTTAAGAAAGGGGAACTCTTTTTTTTTTAAGATTTTATTTATTTTTACAGAGAGAGAGGCACAGCGAGAGAGGGCACACAAGCACGGGGAGTGGGAGAGGGAGAAGCAGGCTTCCCACCGAGCAGGGAGCCTGATGCAGGGCTCGATCCCAGGACCCTGGGACCGCGACCTGAGCCGAAGGCAGACGCTTAACGACTGAGCCACCCAGGCGCCCCAAGAAAGGGGAACTCTTGTTAATATTTGACAAACCTGAGTCTAAGAGAGTCTTAAAAAGAGAGGCAGGTTTTAACCTATTAAAATTTTCTGTGACTGCTTTCTCTGTGGGAGATACACAAAAGAAATGAGCCAAAAAATTCAATGTTCTTACTACTGAGGCCCAATTTGCTAAAACCAGCAATCTAAAACTCAAACTGAAAATGAGAAGGCAAAACATTAAAATGCCCTAAAGAGGTAGCTACTTATAAATCACTCACAGAAAAGGTAAGAAAACATTATTCCCATCCTCCCCCATCTTTTACTTACAAAAACTATTACGCTTCTATGAAAACTAAAGAACTTTATATCCAGATTGCTTAAATACAAATAGAATCATTACTCAAAAGAAGTACTCATGATCAAATGTTGAATTCCAGAGTACTCTCTCTATTACTATCATTTCTAAACCGTCTGTTAAGTATGCACCATGATAGGAATCTATCCTTCTAGGCATCTGGCTCATGTTTCCCTCTTACTGAGTTTCTTAAGTTCAGCTCCCAAAGTGGATGCTTTGCTGTCCTTAATCGTCCCATCTCCCATACATATTCAGTTTTGAGCCCCACTTAAACCAAATGTAGAAGACACATCCCTAGCTTATGAAGACTAACCACTGCTTTTTAACGTCTTACAATATCAGAATAAAGTCTGCTACAATTTTTATAATATAAAAAATTAGTCAAAATCATTAATTTAAACGTTTATTAATCAAATCATAAAATAACTATAATCTAAGAAATGTTAAGAGTAATTTACAACAACTTAAGTTAATCAGACTTAACTTTTAAGATGCTGGGTTGAAAAAATAGATGGTATTCTTTTAAAAAATGCTTATTTCCACTGCTTTTTCAGCCCCATATATTATCTACCCCAAACTGTCTTTTAAAAATATATCAATAAAAAATTGGGGGAAATTGTTAAGTTAATAACAAATAAATCAGACATGGAAATTGAATATCAGAAAGAAAGATTTAAGAAAAAGACAACATATGTCCAAAATCTAAGTTGTTGGGGTGAGGAGGGTCAGTGGTAGAAAATACACTAAAATTTTACTTTGTTTAACTAACTCTCTTTAATAGAATCGACATCAGACATTTGGGCTCACAAACACTGTTGGTCTTCTAAAACATCCACCTTGTTTGTTTTTGATCCGCTGGAATTTCTCTTCTCGCTCAGCCCAGACCCTGTCCATTCTTTCACTGAATGCTTGTTGGGAACATAGTCTACAAACCCTTTTGCTTACGGGCAAGCTCAGCACAAAATGCCGTGATGCCTTGAAGAGAACTATAACATCTGGTTGCCCAGCACCCAGACTCATGAGAATTGCCTAGACAGGTGTGATGTCAACAATGCCCACTCATGACAGAAAACTCACCCAAGAGGCAACCATGAGGAGCTGGGGTAAAAGCATCAAAATTCTATACAAAGATTAACTTCACTATGTTTCTACCTATCCATAACTACCTAAAGCACTCTGAATGTTTTTATAATGTTTACTCAGGCTGAGACTAGTGATTTTGCTAATAACTTGATTTTAAAATATAAATGAAAACAGTTTAATTATGATTTCTTCTACTAAAAGTTAGCTTCTTTGGCATATGGTTGATAACGAAAATAATGTTATGCACATGAAATTCATAAGGCAAATTCTATATACTCTCCGTGCACTTCGGTTCTGCATGACCCCACGATTCAAACTACAGTGGCATCTGATTATCATGAGGCATGGAATCAGCACTTTGGTAGGGGATGAACTTTGACACAAAGCACCAGTGTCTTCAATTACCAGCATATCTAATGTCAGGGAAGAACAGTTTGAAGCATTCTTAAGAGTCAAACAGAAGAACTTACAAAAGCACTAATCACTACTATTCTCTCTCCTTTTTCTAAAGTTAGGACAAAAGAATGAACTTATGATTATTGTTTTTGACCTGGGTTTAAAGTTTATCCTTCAAATAAGCATAAATCACTTTTTCAGGACAAAAAAAAAATTGAAAGAATAAATCTTTTATTATACAGGAAAAGTACCCATTTTAGGGAGAGCACATATTCCTTAGTGAGCATATAATTATACATTTATAAGTTTTAAAGCATGCTGAAAAAATACAAAGATTTAGTGTTAGACAAAACCTGACGGAGACCCTCTCACGTTTTTTGCAGTTAAAGACAGGTGCTTCCCATTAAACCACACTATCTGCTCCAGAAAAATAAAAATGATTTTCATAACTGAAGAGATAGAGGGAATCTTCATGCTGAAATTTTTTTTGTAGTGGTAAGACTGAGTGTGGTAACATAAATAATTGAGTCCTCTCTCTTGTTTTAACCTGTTCATCTTTTCTGCTTAATCGGTAACAATTTCAACCAAATACTCCCTTATTTTGGTCCCTGCGCTCACTCAGCAGGAGCCTTACCAGGGCTGTGGGGCCGCCACCTCTCTCCATCCCGTCTTGGTCCAGCTAGTCGCCAACCTCCATCTTCATCCTCTCCATTTTGTTCTTCTCTAAAAATACGCCAGTTTTCACTTTCTGATCGTATAAATTCATGCTTTCTTCCCACCGATGTTGGTCCACCTTCCTCAAAATTTGGTCTCCCTGTAATGAAAATAAGGCAACATGTGCCTCAGCCAATAAGGATTCTGAAAGCAGACTGGAAGGTTCGGATCACGCTTTTGTGCAGATGTGCCTACTCCAATGCTCAGGAAGTATGAGTAACAGAACTGCTGTAGACATATGCATCTAGTATTGGACATATTTCTTAAAGTGCAACATTCACAGACTGGGCAATTCTTTCTTAAACAAATAATATGTGCATTATAAAAAGGGGATGCAATGAAAAGTGAACCAACCTACCTTACCAGCACATACTACTGTTTTTAAAGTCATACAAGAATTTTCAATTATATGATATGTCTTTTTTTATTTATTTAAAGATTTTATTTATTTGACAGAGAGAGAGAGAACACAAGCAGGGGGAGTGGGAGAGGGAGAAGCAGGCTTCCC